TTACCTTCTAAAATGCCTAGTTGTAAAATTTTACATATTCTAGAAGAATTGTACAAAGCCTAATAAAGCTAAGGCATGACTGCCGAATTATAAAAAAAAAAAAAAAAAAAAATGTCAATATATCTTTGCTCAAAGTTTTTAGACCTTTTATTTTTGTAGAGGTGGCACTAACAAATTGGAGGTAGCAATAACAACTTCTTTTTTTATTTTTGTCTTTTTTAAAATTGCCTAATTATAATAATATCTAAATGTTTTTTTGTTTTTGATAACAGTATACAAAGAACGAGTTAGGCTAAAGACAAATACTTTAGATTATAAAATAATTATATATTTGTGTTAAACTATCTAATAAACATTTTTTTGTTTTATTATTTCATAATTGTAACAGTGTACATAGCAACAAATATTTTAATAAGAGATTTTTTAATAACAATTGAATAATTTTTAATATTTACAAGTATTTAATTATAAGTATTCATAAAAATATTTAAAAAGATTGCTTCTTTGATAATTTATTTTGTAAATAAAAAATGGTTTATGCAAATCAACTAGCACAATGTTCATGGTTTACACATTATATTCATCCATCATATTTATTGTTAATAGTTGCAAAGAAAAAACTTATGATTATTCATTACCTTGAAAATTTAAAAGTGTATATAGTATAGCAAGAAAGTTTAATATTTAATAATCTAAACAAGTTCATAACTAAAAAAAAATTAAAGATCAATTAATGATAGCTGCTTTATATATTAAAAAATTACATTCTAGAAAAAAAGCTAATTTTTCTGAGCTCAAAGAAGATTTGGCAGCTTGGATAAAAGAAACTTGAAATCAATATAATACAGTAATCCATATAATAGTTATCTAAAAGACAAAAAGGTTTGATCACCAACCTAGATTTCAAATTTTGTATTCAGATATAAACCAGTTTGGTTTTTCCCGTAAATGGCTTGATATATTTATGTTTCATTATGATCTTTCAAATAGGCGAGTACTAATATTGCTCAACAGCTTTCCAAAATCTAATTGAAAAACAACAATAGTTCTTGAATTACATTGCACTTAAATATTATGAAAATAATTATCCATTAAAATTAATTGGTAATATGGACAAAATACTTGTTGCTTTTAACTTGCTAAATATTGTTACTCTAGATGGAAATAGTACTAAAGCTGTAAGTATAAGAACTACTAGGCATGAAAAATCAAATTTTACTATAATTTTAGATTGTCTAGCAAATAGTATAAAATTGCCAGCAATGTATATATTTAAGTTAAAAAATATGCCTGTTAACAATTTTCTCAAAATATTCATATTCACATAAATGAGAAAGGATAATATAATGAACAAGAAATTATTTGGTGGACAAACAATATATGGCTTGCTCAAAATGTGTATAGATGCGAATATTTACTCTTAGTATTAGATTTTTTTTAAAGGTTATATTACCAATCTGCTAAAAAAAATTATAGTAAAAATATAACTAATATTGCAATAATACCTGGTAGTTTAACAAGTAAACTTTAACTATTAGATATTATGATAAACTATTCTTTTAAAGCAAAACTTTATAATTTGTATCTTGAATAAATAGCTAATAAAATACATAAATTTACACTTACTAAAAGAATTAAATAATTATCTTACTCTTTAATAGTGACATGAGTAAGAAATATATGAAATAGTGTTGATATTAATTTAATTAAAAGCTCATTTAGCTGTTGTGAAATTTCTAGTAGTTAAAATTTTAATATAGATCAGCAATATGAAATAAAAAATAAAGATTATAATAAATTAGCAGATAATATTAAATTAATAGATCTTACTAATGAAGAAACTGTTTGGGTTGAAATAGAAGATATTAATAATATCTATAGCAAAAAATCTATAGTTGAAAATAATGACCTATTTTATTGCACTGTTTTTCAATTTTCCTATTTGGAAGATTTATATTAATTGACCAATCAAATTAAAAAGAAAAAAAACAAAACAAAAAAGCAGAAAATACAAAAATGAGTATCTAAACCTGCTTTGAAGTACTAATAAAAAATGTCAGGAGAGCAATTTTACCTATAATTTTGCCTATTCACTAACTTTAACTTTAACTCTAACTATAATTTTAGTCAGTTTACTTTAAATATAAGGAAATTGAAAAATGATATAATAAAATTGATTGAAAATGATTAGGTATTAGTTTTATAAATTTATAATAGTTTTTTTTTTTTATTTTAGTTAGTTCTATATTTTTCTTTAAAGTATTTAAAAAATTTTTAAAATGTTTTTTGTAAAAGCTTTATGTATAAATGAAGTGAATTTTTTCAAATTGTATATAGCATAACTAATAACAATAACAATATATATATTATTAACTATATATCCAGGTATTTTAGATGAATCTTTACTATAAATAGTAAGGGTATTTGATATAGAGAAAATACTTAAATCAGTACTGTATAGTATTCGCTTTCTAATATCTTCTAGTTCTTAAAAATTATGCATTGTGATTGGTTAATTATTACAGAAAATCATAGATAGATCTACAAAAATTGACCAATTAAATGAATTTTTTTCTATAATGTGCAAAGTGGATGTGTGTGTAATTAAAATTTTCTTTTAATTCTAGAATTTGTTATTTAGATAACATTTATTACACTACAAATTTATAGTTAGTAATCTTGGTCAATGATTAAAAAATTTGTTATGTTTTCGATGATTTTCTTGAAATCAGCTAGTTAATACAATTTATTTAAAGTATGCTATCATTATTAAAGTCCTTAGTATATATTTACCATTATCTATACAAAATTATTTAATTCACATTGTTTTAGTTTGAACTAGTCAAATGCATATTAATTTATTTAGTAAATAACTAGTATATAACTCATTGCTTGCTTAATTTTCTTATACATTCTACATGTGCATTATACAACACTATTTTTTTTATTTAATAAAGCTATGTTTAAATTCTGGTTCAAGGATCAACAATATCATTACTGTCTTTTGAAGTTTATATACCTGGTACCAAACCTCAGAAATATTATGTTAGCTTCAATTTGCATACTTTTGATTCTACTATAGTATTTCTTTTAAAGCCAAAATTCGTAATTTAACCTTTTTTTTTTTTATTTAATTAGCCAATTATTATAATCAATAGGCAGGTGACCCACAGATAGGGTGTCTGACATAGTGGCAAAGACATGCCAATGGTAACATGCCACTAGGAGGACACCGAACAATATATATAAAGGTTATATGGAAATTTTGGTTAAAAACAACACTTTTTTAAAAAAATGTTATATTTGAAAACCAGTTATTTGCTTTAAAGGTTATATTTAAAACTGGATAATAGCTTTTAATGCTATATTATTAAAAGTGGATAAATTTGTTGATTTTGTGTAAGGTTACATTTAAAAATTGGTTAAAATGTATTAAAAATAAAGATTTTATAAGATAAGATTACCATATTGCTTTTAATTAAACCAGTATTAAACCAAAATAGTTAAGTATACAAGAGAGCGTTTATTGAAAAACCAAATGGTTGTTCAAGTATCTGACTGTGGTTTACATGTAACATGCAAATGTGGAAAAGTTATTAGACTCAAATAAGCTTACAATGAATCTTATATAGAAAGTCATATTAATAATGGTTGTAAGCTTCAAAAAGGCATTGTTTCAATCTTAAATTTTTTTCCAACAATATCAAAAGAAAATAAACCTATTATAAAACGGTTTCCTTGCAATAGATTAGATAATGCTATTCATAAAGCTTATATTAGTCGTGTATTTACACATACTACTCATGGTGGAGCTCCAAGAAGAGATATTGTTGCTAGAGATCTTTTTCCAACAAAATTTTCTTCTGATAAACCTGTAAAATACAAAAAACTTTCTGAAAAAGAGTTACAATTATTAGACAAAAAATTAATTCGGCAATCAAAATAGAAAATCGAAGGTTTAGTAATACAATCAGTTTTATGTAAACAATATACCGTAAAAATCGGACCCAGGTACCCCCAATGTGGTGTACCCTTACCAGTTTGAAATGCCAGTTTGTGACTTATACCCGGGTATAAGATATATTTTCAAATAATGCATCATCATACCATATATAATGTTATAAAAATTGAATTACAATTAGTGACGTTTATTGGTAAGACAAATATGACAAGGATCAAGAACTATTGATCGACAATATCTAATATAGCAAACTCACAATATATTACAAGATTTTTTATTAATCATTCATACTTGATCGTTATACTGTATTATAATATGATACACCTACAGTAATATTTAAAAAATTTATATTGAATGCACGATTCGAATATCACTCAAACTGCCATTTGAATCGTGCCATTCAACATGAAAATTTTTAAAAATTTACCAGTAGCACATTTTTCATATCGAACATTATTACGCACACATTACACTTGATAAAACATGCATACAAAAAAATCAACTTTATTTAAAAGAAGAAATTTACAAAATTTCATCCTTTATTCCTAATCGTTACTACCCCTAGTTTCTTCATACTCTTCATTAAAATCATCAGAATCTGACTCTCCTTTAATGTTTTTTTCATTTGCACTTGCCAGGTCTTCCTCCAAGATTTTATAGTCAAACACCAAATCGTCTTCCGAACCATCCATTTTTACTGATATACCGCAACACTTGAACAATTTCCTAATTAAACGAGGATCAATCTCATTCCATAATTATTCTACCCATTGAGCTAGGGTGTAATATGATGGCTTTTTAATACGTCCAGTGGGCGTAAATTGATGAGGATTGTTGATCATCCATTCATTATAATGAAAGCACACCTATCATTTAAAATTTTTTTATTATGTGTTGCTAATAAAAAAAAAACAAATAAAAAATACATAATATACTGTACTTTTTCCTTGAAATATTTATTGATTGCAACATCAAGGGTTGCAATTTACTGGTTAGTCCACCAGGAATGACTACAAGATGAGTATTGTTTTCCTGGAAACGACTTTTAACGAGTTTTTCATATGACCTCTAAATGAATCTAAAACCAAAAGAGATCAGGAATTTCCTAATTCACTATGTTTAGACCACACATTATTAATCCAATAATGCATCTCCTCTTCATTACACCACACTTTTTCATTTGCACGAATAATAACACTTTCAGGAAAAACTTCACATGGAATGTTTTTTAATTTAAAAATGCACACCGCCAGAAGCTTTTTTTCATCTGCAAGACACCCCAAAATTACAGTAAAAGATGTTCTTTTGTGTCCAGTTGACCAAATGCTTACTGTTTTAGTTCCACGCTTTTCAAGAGTTACTGGGTAAGGTAAATCGAATGACAAAGGCGTTTCGTCCATATTTCCAATATATCAAATGTCATAATTGTATTCACGACGTTTGAACAAAACAAAGCTCAAGAACTCACTTTGTTGTTCAATAAGATCTTCAGAGAGATGCTGCAAAATTGTTGTGCGCTGGCGATTTGACAGATCATTACAGTACAAAAATCCACTCAACCAACCATTGGAAAACTTAAAATCATCGATATTAGGATATGCATTCTTTATTTCATTAGTTTTAACTAATGTTTTAGCTTTTCTAATAACCATATTTCGTGTAATAGCTAGATGCTTTTTACAAAGCACTTCAATCTATTCCGTTAGCCTTCTTTCTAAAACTGGGTACTGTGCTGGACGACTACGCTAAGCGTTAAAAGATAGAGTGTGGCATTTAAAAGTTTCGGTTTCTTGCTTCGCCAATCACGAACCTGTTTGGGTTCAATATCAAATTTCCTTGCAGTCGCTCTTATATTTTGAACACGTTCGAAATAATAAACCACCATGAGTTTTTCACAAATGCTCCAGTTACACCGAGACTTGTTTCGAACACAAGATTTTTTACTGATACTTTTACTTCGTGAAGACATTTTTTAAATGCATATAGGGAGAATTCATGTGTTTCAAGTTTTTATATAGGGAGAATGTTGCACAACATGTAATGTAAAAAAAATTTAACCTGAGTTACTGGAGTACAACTCAAGAACTGAATGAATTCAAAGAAAAAAAAAAAGAATATAGTGGTGAATTCAAAGAAAAATGATTTAGAGAAAAAAAAAGTCTAGCTAATGTCCTATCAAAGAACCCGGGCGCACCTTTATACAGTTTTGCGACCACAACAATAGATTTAGAGAAAAAAAAAGGACATGATAAATTTGAAGAATAAAAATAACATGGTAAAATTGAAGAAAAAAAAAAATAACATGGCGGTAAATTCAAAGAAAAAAAAAATGACAGATGGTAAATTCAAAGAAAAAAAAATGATAGGAAAAAAAAAAGTTCAATCCCAATTACCGAGCTATTAGAGTATAACCCTAGAGCCGGTAGTCCTGCTCAAGGCAATTGGGGCAGCCTTCAGACAGTTCACATCTTCAACAATAGATTCAGAGAAAAAAATTCTCATGACAATAAATCCAAAAAAAAAAAATCGATTTAAAAAAAAAGCCAGACCCAATTGCCGAGTAACCCTAGAGCCAGTAGTTCTGCTCAAGGCAATTGGGCATATCTTTTGAATATAAACAAACAGTTTAAAAAATGATTGAAAGAACGTTAATATTTAATGTGCCTTATTATTAGAGAAATGTTTTAAATTAAAAAAAAATTTTCTAGAACTGACTTATATATAAGAATTTCTGATTGCTTACTAATGGAGATGCAGGAAAATGTGTATCGGATTTCAAGTTTATCACTGATTATTTATTAGATTCAGTCCATAAAAAATCCGATTGATGATATATACAATACTGTATATATATCATCAATCGGATTTTTTATGGGCTAAATCTAATAAATAACCAGTAATAAACTTGAAAGCCCGATGTCACGGCAGCACTCGAGGTAGGACCGTCCATGTTACACAGACGATCCAATTGATAAAAAAATTTTTTTTATACGTTTTACAATACTT